TCACTACATACTCTTTTCAAAACATATCGCAGTATATAATTCCCTTGTTCAATCTTAAAGACTGAGTGTAGTCATGCGCTTAACCTTACCAAAACCAACTATCGAGACAATCAATTAATCTGCCATCAATAAAACCATAATTTACAAAGACAAGTCTTTTTACAGAAATACAGTACATCCAACCTGACTTGTTGCTGCATGACTGATAATAGATAGATAATAGATTTTTCAAAGTGTAGGATCTGTTGTTGTATCTGTTTTTTCTTAATTCAAGTTATACAGTACATCAAGTGGTGCAGCTCTAACGGAAATGAAAAAGCAACGCAACTTAAATAAAACAAAAACTTCTAGTTTGATGCAAGCCCAATGAAACAGCAAAAGCATGAACTCTATCAAGGTACATTCTGGGATTGACTTGCCTACTGTTTTGAGAGCAACACCCAGTCTATGCAATAAATGTGCATGTATGGTTCATAGCTCAGGGTTTTTACAGTCATCTTATGGTTTTTTTAGTCATCTAATCTTGGCTGTAGTCACTGATCATTTTTGGCCCAAAGTCCACCCAAAGCCCGCTGTGGAGGAAAACAGTCTGTGGTGGGAGACGGAAAACCCATGACATGGCAGTGCCACTAATTAACGTCGTTTCATCAATCCATGACCACCACAAGCTATCCAGATTCCATATTGGCTTTCCGGATTTGCCTGGCTGTGCTGCTGTCTGCGATGCCCATCAATGCATTTCCAACAACAGCCTACATATCTACAAAGCACACAGCTGATGGTAGGAACAGACCCGCCCTCTCTTAAAAAATTGAGGCAAACCTCCAAGCTGTGGTTGAATCCTTGCTACCAGAATATTGAGCCGTTTGGATCCAAGAGAGCCAAACACATTTAAAGACATTCCCCAGAGCAATAATACCATATAATCAAGGCAGGGTTGGGATGACTCCTGCGGGAGAAGCCATTCTCAAAGCTTGTCAAGAAAGCCATTGAGGAAAAACAAACCGGTAGAAATTTAGAGACACGGAATTTCTGTTTTTCAAGTGGTTACTTGAAATGTCATGAAAGCCAAAGAAATGTTGGTAATCTTAAGTGTGTTTATAGTACAAAAGTTACACTATGTTAAGCTGTCCAGCAATGATACACACTTTTGTGGGGTTGTGCCTTTACATTATGTGTTTGTAAAGTGAAATGTTAGCAATGGCATTTTAATTTTGATTCAGTAAATTCTCTGTGTGTAGCCTCTGAAGGAAGTGGTCACGTGAAGATCTTCAGTTGCAGACACTGCTATTCTCTGGCACTGAAAGGCGATCCACCGCAGCACAGGCAGCAGCTCTCATCAACATTCCCAAGCACAAGTCTAGTCAAGAGATTAAATCTAAAGCCTTATGCAGCAAACTGCTTCTGTATAGGGGCTTTCCTGTGAGCTGTGGCCAAAAAATGCCATTGCAAACAGATCAAACTGACCACAACTACCTTTGAATAAAACTGCTGCTCTGTTTACCTTCTCCCTGTATCATCGTCACATTGCTCTTGGTGCTCATATCTGTTTTACCACTCATTTCCCACTGTGCTAAGGTTTTATAAAGGAGCAGATGATGACTGAAGAAAGAGCCGAGCACTTTTACAGTAGTGACTGCACCCCCTGGTGGAAACATCAGGCACTGCTACACCTACTGATGGGCAGGTTCTGACATTAATTAGTTAAACCAAATCAGAATAAATGAATTACGTGACGAGTGATGCATATCTAGAAATGTAAGAGGACAAAGGCTGAGTGCTAGAAGCAAAGTATTTCCTATAGAACTACTGTAGAAGCCTTGGGCCTGTTCTGACCTTTTTCTGGTTGGTTTTTGGGGGACGGAATGACAACAAATTGTTGAGCCCTCATTACAGGGTTATACTGTACATACACATTCATGTTGTTGCAGCCAACATCTTTAATGCTTTGGAACATGTACAGTAACTAACAAAAATGCAGCCACGTTTAAATAAAAAAAAAACATCTAGAAGAAAAGTGTCTGAAATTAACCATATCAACTTATAATGATATTCAATTGAATTGTCTCTAGCTAATAGGTCTAAGTATATTTCACCGTCTTTTTTTAGGTCTTGTTTTTTACCTGGTATTAAGATTTGGTCAATCGTATCACAAGTAGACGGGGCAGACGTATGACCGTTTACAGCTGTGTTTTAATCCATCTCTTTTGTCCACTTTCAACCACTTTTGTCCTTATGTCTTCGAGGGGAGGGTCTATGGGCAGGCAAATGTTTGTTTTTTGGGGTTTTTTTCAGATCTTTTTCGATCTAACGTTTTCGACTACCTCTGGAAGCTCAAAATGTTTTTTTTTTGCTCAAAAAACAAACACAGAAGACAATCCATTTGTCATTATAAATCAAATACAAATGCAACGATTTTGGGCTCTACATATTTAAAAATTGCAGACCCTTTGTACATCGTGATTACACCTCGGTTTATACTTGGAATCAGAATTTAGGTGGGAATAACCAGCATCTCACACAAAAGTCGTAAATATCTTCCCTCAATTCGGTTCAGGTTTACATTTGGGACAGCAGTTCCCCACATGTGACCCTAGTCTGGCTTCCACAGGAGATCTGCATAAACTTGTCAAAACCAGGCACAAAAGAATCTCATTCCATGGTTATGCAGGGCTTATTTCCCTTATGTTTTCCCAGCATGTAACCTCTTCCCCCTTTCTTTCTTCAGGCTGTTTGAGGTGAGCTCTAAACCGAGACAAAAAAAAGTGTGCAGCACTCGTATTGCCTCGTTTCCCAGGATTATTCAATGTTCTATCACTACTTTGTCCCCAAACCATCCAAACCTGGTCTCCCTGGGATTTTTGTTAAACGAGATACAGCAGAAACAAACATTGGGCACCTGCCGCAACAGGCTAGATGGGACGGGTGGTAAAAAACTAAGTCTTTGCATTCTTGTGGCCAGGATGACAATTTCAGCAGCGGCTCAACTAGGCAAGGAATCCCACCCAACCCTCAGAGACGCAGACCGAGGTCAAACAGAGACTGTGTTTAGATTTCACATATGCTCCACCGCACTGGGGAAATTGGGTATGCAACATTGACCCTCTACTTAAGTAAATCAGTGCCAAGAAGATGCGGCATGTGCTTCATGGAAGGTATTTATTTGCACTTTAGTAGAAGCAAGTGTGACAACATGTCAAAATATAATGATTTCATGCTGGCTCTGGCACGAATGGAAAGGTTGAAAAGACTTTAGTTTGTTTATTGACTGTATATCATTGACTGTGGAGTTCTCAGCTATCTGAAAAATGACACCCATATCACCATTCAAAAATTAACACTCATTGTGTGAGATAAGAAAGAACACCCATAATGCCATAGTGAAATACATCACTAATGAGTTTCCTATAGTTTGTTTTCATGACCTAATAACATGGAAGTACAAGCAATTTCCGTCAAAGTAGACAAAGTGCTGAAACTGGCAAAGTGTGAATACTTTTAAACAATGGCTATTTAGCCTCACATAAGCATGACAAATTGTATGTTAAAAATATCAAGGCATTTATTAGACGAAGCCTCTTGACACTGCATATCTGCTCATGATCAGACATTGTAGTTTATCTTTTTCCATTTAATGTGCCAAAAAAAACAAGGGGAAATATTCTTAAGAGGCTAATTGCAATTGGTAACAATCTTTCAGATCAAATAATGGAGACTATAAATCTTTATATGAAGTACTATCCCACCCATGCTAACACAAGCCAGCATTTATTAAATTTATTGACTTCCTAAGAGGGGGTAGAATAGGCTTAGACCCAATCTACAACCACTGCAGCCCAACAAACCGGTTTACTGCTTCATAATGTTCAATGGGGCCTGAGGGAGCCACTCCCGCCCTGGCCCTTGATTTGCCCTAACAATATTCTCTCCTTAGCACACCTTTATACATAGAATCTTCCATCACTCTTCACCATGGATCCAAGAGAAATAATTATACGTCTTGAACTGTTGAGATATTGTTGAATGTGAAAACCTAGTACATCAGATCCAGCCAGACTGGGTTAAAACACCAGGACAATATTAAACGCCCACCTGTCCTTGGAGTGTGTCCAGATTTTGGATTATATTTACACCCGCATTATAATACATTTTGTGTCTGTATAAGAGTTTAATATCAGTAAACCTCGCTTTTTTCCCCTCCAAATCTGGTTTAAAACTTGTTGATGCAAGTGACAATGGCTCACAGACGATGATTAAAAGTTAAACACATGTTTCTCAAAACATGAAGTTCTGGTGTGATCGCTAAAGGCACGTAATGGAAGAATATCAATAAGCAGAAATGAACGCGTCATAGAGGAATACATTCCAAAGGCGTTCCCACTGTATCACAATTACCTCAATTAAAATTATGCTAGGGGAATGTTTAAAGGGGGAACTGGGGAAACTGTAAATTCAACACACATTCTTGAACTTGCGCTAATGAAACTTAGTGAGCGAGTAAAATGGGTGCCAAAACGAGTGTTTATGCTGGATGAAGAAATATTATCTGCGATCTTAAAACAGACGTTTTGGCCACCAGGTTAGAGATCCTCGTAGCTTTATTGTTAACAGCTGTGTAGAACTGCTCGTGTCTAGTTTCTTTCCTCTACAAGCATCTATTGGAAAAAAAGACGAACCTGACCGGCTTGTACCTGCCCGTCACTGAATTAGCCTAAGAAATTTATGAAATATGCAGTATTTAATACATTGGTGAATAGGGGCATCTTTAATGCATTTATAAGTTATTAACAGGAGACTTCATGCAAACATTACGTTGTTATAATGAGAACAATACTCACACTAAATCGCAACTCCACAGGTTGTTACGGAGAGAAGTTTACATAACTTTTCCCCTAGATTGTCTTTTTTGATTATGATCTTTGATTCATCATTTCACATCTATCTTTCGTCTATACATTAAAAAATCTGAAGCTTGAAAAACATTTAAAGCTTCTGCCTACCCGAAGTAAGCTGTGCTCGGTCCAGGCAAGCTGATAAGATGCACTATAATGGTAAATGATAACCATCCCAGGAGAAGGTGTCCATCCAGCATTTTGTAGCAGCTCTGGGGCAGCTCATTTCGTTCGTCCTAAGTTGCTGTGTAAAATCCTTTCTTGTGAGAACGGCACTTCTTATACACTCCGAGGATTTATGCGCCCCTCCCATTCACTTAGAACGGAGAGGAGAGAGAGGAGAGAGGAGAGAGACGAGAGAGAGAGAGAGAAGAGAGAGAGAGAGAGAGAGAGAGAGAGAGAGAGAGAGAGAGAGAGAGAGAGAGAGAGAGAGAGAGTTTGTAAGTAAAGTAAGTAAGATTTTGAAAGTAAGTTTGGCTTAATTATTTACGTTTGCTTTTTGTAAGCATGTGCAGTCATAATCTTCATTCTTCTAAAATAGAATAAATAAACCGTTTTTTTTTTTTTTTTTTTTTCTATATAGACTATATACATAATGTCTATACTGGCTTTTTAATATCAGACAAAAGCTCTTGTTATATATCGTAGAAAACAAAACTAGCCTACAGGAATATACTGTGAATTAACAGCTCTCAAAGTCAACACTCAGAGACTGTGTTCCTAATCACACCCTATACCCTCATTCACTACTCCCTAGTTCACTAATATAGTCCACTAGAATGAAAAGAAGTGAGTGAATTGAGACACTGATGAACACCTGATAAGCAGAATCACTGAAGGACAGAGAAACAAGAACTGAAAAAGAGAAACACAAGATCTACAACTGACTTCCAGCAACACAGAGTGTGAAAACAGTTTACAAACCAGTTTAACATTATTTATTTCATACATGTACAAAAGCTCTTGTTGAGAATTAACAGAGATTTAATTAATAATAAAGTTTGTTTTTCACCATAATGGAGATCAGTATTTGCTTTAGTAGGCCTCTTATCCCTGGACTTGTTACATTTATCTCTCTCTTTGACTGCTGTAACAGTGAGTTTAAAAACACATTTGTTATAGCTAGAAAAAGTCAAGAGGAAGTTGATCTGGTGTTTTTGGCTTCTGTGATGATGTCATGATCATTCTGGATATGTCTGATTTTCAGATCTTTCCTTTTATACTCTTTGAATAAATGGGTATTAAATATGAAATATACATTAAGTTATGATTATAAAATAAATCTGTGAATCTACAACATGAAATCAATATGTTGGTTAATCATGTCTTCTGAATAATATTATAATCATATAAAACGTTTCAATAATATCCTGCTAAAGTCAGACACACACAGACATCAACAATTATAATATTCATCTCAACAACGGTAACATTCAAAAGTTTCATGCAGCAGTGCATGCTGGGTTCCAGGATTGTATAAAACTCCCAGCATGCACTGCTGCATGAATAAAAAAAAATTTGCCACCATTATTGAGATTAATGTGCTAAATTTTGATATCTTGGTGTTTCAACAACACTATAGCGCTGTTTTGGTTTATGTATGATATGTTAAAAGAAAAATTAGTCGTAATTAATTGCTGTGGTTTCACATTGGTGGTAATGTAACACTTTTGGTTGAGGTTTAAACTCTGAATGAGTAAAAATGAATTATTTAGTGAATGAACAGACCATATGATGATTGTCATATTTTGACAAATCATTACTAAACTGTGTGTCTGCACAAGTGTGTCTTGCTTAAACACAGCTCAGAGCGTTTAAAGAAAGTCTCGTGTTACAGCGTCAGCATACCAACTAAAGCAAACACTGATCTCTATGATGGTAACTTCAAACCAAACATTTTTAATTAAACATCTCAACAACATCTTCTATAGATGTATGACAGAAATAAAGCCATACTGGTTAATAATAAGTGTAATAATGTGTAATGGCTGAAGTCAGTTGTAGTTCTTGTGTTTCTCTATTTTCTGTTCTTGTTGTTCCTCTTTCCTTCAGTGATTCTGCTTGTTAACAGCAGGTGTTCATGCTCAACAATCACTTACATATTCCCTTAATTATCTCACTGCAACACTGCATCAATGTTACTTTTTACTCTTTGTAGTGTGGATTTTCCTGTGGGGTAGAAAGGGTTAACAGTGTAAGATAAAAAGACACTCCCACAAAATGTATTTTAACAGTAATAAACTGTAAGTTATAAAACAGGTTTATACTGGCAACACTGTTGCCAGTAGTTTACTGTAAAATCTTGTTTTTTGGGTTACCGTTGTGCTGAAGAGTAGAGCCTGAGCTTCAGTCCAGGAGAAGATCTACAAACATTGATGATATGCTGCATGTTGCTTTATTCAAAAGGCACTGTCTGTGTTAGTTGCAGAATCCGGTGGAAATATCTTTATTTACGAAAGTTAATTTTTAATGTTTCTAATTAAATAAGTTCACAATAATACCTTGTTCACATTGTTAGTGCATTATACATTTAGTTGATTTTTTTAAGTTTGTTTCTGCAAGTTAAGTTAGTTAACTCAAGTTTTAGTCCATTTTTACAGTAAATAACTGGCAACACTGTTGCCAGTTATTTACTGTAAAATGCACTAAAACTAATAAGTTGTATTTTTTTTTTTTAGTCAACTCGAGTTTTAGTGCATTTCTACAGTAAATAACTGGCAACAGTGTTGCCAGTATTTTACTGTAAAAAAACCTGGTAAGGTCTAACAGTGCAGCATAGGCTATGAATATTTTCCCTAATATTCATGATTCATTTGGTTATCGATTTCCCAGTAGAGTAAAAAATTTTGACTCTACTCATGTCCACATAAACCGACATGCCATTTTTTAAAAATTAATTATTTCTTTAATTACTTTCTGAGAGGACTGACTGCAACACGTTCAGAGGCAGTGTGCAATTACAGTTACATTATTTTTGTATAAGATAGATTTTGCCATTACTAGATGAAACGTTTAATAAGAAGTTATTGGGAGTTATAAATCTTGAGGAGAGATTTGGTTTGGCAAGAGCAGAGGAGAGAAGGTTCTTGTTTAAATGTTTTTTAATGATGATCAATAAAGGAAACATGCACCACACTCCTAAATCTAATGTTTTGCATCGAAGTAGACACCAATTGAAGACTTCAGATGCAAAAAAACGTTCATTTTATTTAAAATGAGCATTTTATCAGGCTCTTTTGTTTAGATTTTACTTGAATGACAATGCAATGTTTATAAGTCATTGAAAATGTTATTGAAATTCCTTATTTTCAACAATAAAACTATAAAAGCTCATTTAGAAGAAGAAAAAAATGTATGTTGCATCTGCAGTCCTCAATTATTGATACACAAAGAATGGCGTGTCATTAAACATTAATAAACCCAGTTAGCACTGAAGTCACAGATGAAACAGAAATCTTGGCATCATAATCCACCACTACACATCTTTGTTTTGGCAGCGAAATGTTAGTAAGATAGGGATCTGTTGGGCTGGTTTCAGCTCACTCTTGGGTACACCTGGAAAGAGCTCTTGACATGCTTGACATGACAGCTCTTGAATGCTGCAACAAAATGGACCTTTTCAATCACAAGGATCACAGTAGCAACAACAGGTGGGCTACTGGATCCTTTTGCCAAGTTTCTGTTTGCTAAATTGCCTGTTCTGCTGGATCATGACACTGGTAAAAAAAACAAAAAAAACAAAACAAGGGTGAAATAGCATTGTTGAGGATCTGCTGATGACATCTGCTTTATTGACACCAGATGATGGGGCATTCAACCTCACAAATTAAAAGACTGGATTTAACTATTTGGCAAAGACAACATTCCATCATTCATTTAAGCTTGGGTCCTTTAAAATCAATAATAATTCCTTTTTTTTACTTTCTTAGTATATTATTTGGTGTACATTTTCTCAAATAAAGAAAAAAGTTTGCCTTCTTGCTCCGCTACCATCATAAATCCCTCTTATTTATCAACCTCTTCCCTCCAACTAGCCTATGGGGTTTCCCAAATATTTCCAAATTCCCAAATCCTACTGTATTAACACTTACCCTAATCGTAGGCGCAGGCCTGGACAGTGGACTGTGTTGTGCAGCTTAAACAGACTACCATCATCTCCCACAATCTTCCGAATGAAAGCAGTTTAATGGAAAAAACTGAAAGAGATCCATGCCGAATGCATCATCAAGCAAGTTTTAAACAAGTCTGTATCGTTAAGTCATTTCAATGTCCAAACCTCCTTATGCTATGCGCTAAATTAAGAACTATCACTTTACTGCACAGGGTTTAAATTGAGCCAGGAGTAGGATCTAGAATAGTTAATCATGGCTTTCTGAAACACAGATTAAGTACAGATTACTAACACCTGAATTATGAACTCCTGAACTAAAATAAACAAGATTAATTTAAAACCAACTAATCTGAATTAGCACGACCGAGGTTGCCTATAAAATGGAACAAACCAAGAAAAACTAAAAATTGTATGGAACTGAGAAGCAAATCCAAGGAAAACAATCACAGCAGAAACAAAAGACTGCATCAAAAAAAAGAAAGAAATACTGATCAAAAGAAGACAACTTTAAAGCAAATAGCAAATAAAAACTGCATATACCACTTGTGGAATCTACATGGTGAGGAAAAACACCCCACAAATGCTTTGCTTTCCACCAAACTTTGAAACTGGATTCGAACCAGGGTCTCCAACATGGAAGGCAGACACACTAACAAGAACGCTAGTATCTAGCCTCAGTCACTTCTGCAATTCTTGAGGCCATAGGGAAGTGAAGTTTACAAACACAGCTCTTACTAGCTTACCTCTGTTACATACATATATACATACATATGTACACACACACATTCCTCCAGGAAATCAGTTTCTTATACTCTGGACTAGACCATTTCTAGGACTATTTAAAACCATAACCAAGCGTGCCGCACAAGCCCTCAAAAGTGAAGCCAAAACGTCTCCCCTGTGACCGGTCCTAGTATAGCTCATAACCCCCGCCTCCCCATGTTATTCAATGGGACGCGAGAACAACTAAACAATTAAATTACACTTCACATATCCTTTTTCCAAAGATAGTATCTGTCATTTACTGTAGTTTCAACGCGTTCTCATCCCAAAGTGCCATATAGGACGCTTTTGCAAAAGCGTAAATATCCAACGCACATGGCACCCTTTAACGTCTAATGAGACGCTTCGGTT